CTAACTATTAAGGAATTCACCTTTGATTTAGCTACTGACTCAGAAAACCTGCCATCAAATGATGCTGATTATCTTAATGAAGACACAATATTTGAAGAAGGTGATGTTGAAATCGATAATGAAGAGATTATAAGCAACATTACCAAAAAGAAAATCTCTATTAAAAATCCATTAAAGACTGAAGGAATTTTGGAAAAAGTAAAAAATAATGTTTACAATGCATTACTTTATTACTGGGATACCCCCAATGATACAGGATTAATGGCTACTTTATTAGATCCGCATTATAAGGAGTTAGGTTTAGAACTAGAAGATAAAAAAATTGAAATAATTCAAAAACTTTGTGATGAGTTTAATGAGTTGAATTCTAATAACTCAAATAACACAACACCAATAGCACCTATAGCAGAGCCATCTAATCCAATCATACCTTTTTCAGGTGCAGAATCTTCATCGTGTTCACAAAAAGAATACCGCCAGTGCCGTCAAAGTAAGACTAAAAAACCGTTAACACCTGTAACCATTGATGAAGTTGATAGTTATTTGGCAATGCCAGCTGCATTGGAAGCAGAAGATCCATTGGATTGGTGGCGAGTTCGTGCAGGAAATTTTCCAAAGTTATCACAAATTGCCCGCAAATACCTTGGGATTCCAGCTACTTCTGTGTCAAGCGAAAGGTTATTTTCTCACGCTGGTTCACTAATTTCAGCAAAAAGAAATCGTTTAGACACAAGTTTAGTGGGTCAGATATTGTTTTTAAAGAGGAATATCCGTTCAATGGAAGTTTTTGCAAAAGAGTGGGACGAAGTTGAATAATATTAACCTTGAATTTATGAATTGTTATTTGTAAAACCGTTTTTTTACTTTTTAGTATTTAAATTTGTAATAAATAACAAGAATATATGGAATAAATGAAATATTCATTAATATTAAATATAAACTACTAATTTCTATAATAATATATTAGCGGACTAATTTTTTTTTTAAAAAAAATAAATAAATTCTCCGAAGGCGCAAGCTTCAAGTAAATGGACCAATAAAAATTTATGGATCACAGATGATCTGCTAAAATTCGGATTGGGATAGATCTGGATAGATCTTAAATTAATGCAAATAAGGATTAATCCGGATAGATCCTAAATTAAGGATCAATTCGTAAAATTTCAGATCCGGATGGAAATCCAGATCTGCTGAAGAGATTTGGGATTGGATCCGGATGACCATTTAGAAATAGGATCGGATCACTAATGAAGATGCTCAAAGTTGATTACATATTTTGAAATGTGAGCTGATTTGAATAAAATCACTAATACAGAATTCAACTTCAAAAATTTTAAAGATGTTTGGATAAGATATTTTACACTTAAGTTAAATAGATTTTGTAGGTCACTAAAGAATAAGAACTTGCATTACAGTAGAACCAAGAGGTGAATCCAAATGTAGCATCAAAAAATTTAAAAGATAAGAAATAGAAGGGAAGATCTTGGAATAAACACGTTACTAAAATAATAAAAACTATGAAAAAGAATCTTGACAGTACTTCAAAGTTAACACTTTTAGTTGAAATATGAAGTTTACTTAGTAGATTTCACTGGTAAAAAAATGATTTATCCTACACATATCTTACACATATTGGGTACTTAAAATGTATAAATTCATACACAAATAATACACATATCATATACATATCTGGTACTAATATATATATCATACATATATCAGGTACCTAATAGGTATACTATATATATAAGTACCCGATATGTGTATGATATGTGTATTATTTGTGTATGATTTTCTACATTTTGAGTACCCGATATATGTAAGATATGTGTAGGATATGTATAGGATAGACCATTTTTTTACCAGTGTTTGCTAACTGATGGGAGGACTGGGCAAGCTAAAAGAGCTATAGGCAAGACGAATGGGATACTATAGTAGTTACTTACTTTGAATTATTTTACTAACCCTTTTTTTATTTTATTTTTTACCTCAGCTTTTATTTTATTGCTTCTTTTATTTCTTTTTTGTTCATTAACTGTGAGTTTTGTGTTGCAATTACAGTAAGTTTTGAGAAGTACTTAAAGTGTAAATTTGGAAAAGAGGATCCCATCTAAAAAAGAACAATTACACATTAAACTTACTTTATCAGTTCAGAGCTTTTCCTGATAGTGCATACATGGTTATTTGGTCTGAATTAACAAGTAATTCAGTTTTTTAATTAATTAGGTTTTATTTTCTTTTACCATTTGTCTTACTCATATATTGAATTATTTAAATTCTAATAAAATTCTGAATGTACTGCAGCCAAAAAAAAAAAAATATATATATGTTTTATTAAATATTAATTATTTTAAAAAAGTAAAATAAAATATAATTTATATAAATTATATAAAAAATATATAAAATATAAAAACTGGTTTAAAATAACTGTTTACTAATAATTAATTAATTTATTAAATTTTTAATTTTTTCAATTATATATTAATACATATAAAATTACATGATTTGGAATAAAATATTCATATTTTAGTATTGAAAAAATTTTAACTTTAAATATAACTTTAATAGCCCTATTCATTTCCAATCAGTCATATTTTTCAATTAGATATTGTTATACACAAATTATGAATTGCTTTAAATTGAAATTTAGTTTGACTAAACTTCTTATATTCTTATATTGATATATTTTTTTAAAATATCATGTAAATAGAAATTATCTAATTGTAATTGGTTATTTTTTGACATTTGACTCAAAAAGATTGGATTAGACTCTAAAGTTCGGAAAATAGTTGCATTATACAAACTGATTAACCCAATCAAAATAAACTCAAATCTGACTGAAAATGTAACCAAGGAATAGGATTTATTTTCAATTTAAATTATGGACGGGAAGTCACGTGATATATACATTAAATCTGAAATTCGTAATTCTGGGAGGGGGCTATAAATTTGGCCCGAATTACCGCCGATCACTTTTGGCCAATTATGTAAACGGCACAAATTTTTATCTGTTCCTGGTCGGCAAATATTATATTATCCATGTATTTCGATTTCAACATTAGGCATCTATGGTAGTAAAAAAAACAAGTAATTTTTTGTATAATTTACTGTCATTGTAAAAAAATTTGTATTTTTGCGTGAACTTCTAGTAGAAACTACAAATAAAAATTTCTTTTTATATACTATCATTTTTAATCAAGTAATACAAACTACCTTTTGTGCTAATAAGTGTTAAAATCGGAGGAAAATATTTTCTTTTTATGGATTTTAACGCGATAGAATAACAAGTGACTCATTATGACTCCTGCTATAATTTAAAGCTTTTTGTCACGGTTCCGAAAATTCCCTATTTATTCCGTACATGTATTAATTGAATATAATAACTAAAATATAAATATATATGCATAATGCTTAGCTCTATAGAAAATTTCTAATGTTTTTTTTAAGATTTCTTAAGTTTGTTAAGTTTGTATAAATTTTTAATATATAAGATAAAAATTTCAAATTTTAAAATATGAACCAAAATACGCCCCTACGAATAAACAATAACCATAGTTATCAACAATATGAAGCGTTATTAGGAGTGTTTAATGCGAATAGACTGTTAGTCTTTCCTCCACCAATTATAAATCCCAACATTATGATCGGACTTTTAAACAACAACACCAATCAACGTATTAATGGATGTAGACTTTTACGATATTTTGTTTCATTGCAAGGTCAAAATGTTAGTTCAAATATAATTGGCTTGGTAACTAGTTATTTGTGGAAAAATGCAAATCCGAATGAAAAAGATGATTACGTAAATTTAGCGGCGCAAGTGAATCGACTAATAATTCACTAACAAAAAATTAATCGAATCTTTTTAGTATTTTTGAAATTACTTTTCATCAGAAAATATTAAGTTTATGTTTATTTATGAAATTTTAGTTTTTTAAAAAAAATTTTCGGGTAAAAATCTTCTTAATATAAGGCGTAAGTAAATATAAGTATGTTCAAACGAAGGTTCTTAAATTGGCAAACGAATCTGAATATATGACGATTTTATTTTATTACTATTATTGTTTTTTTTTTCGCTTTTTTAGTAAATGATGGCAAAAATTGGCAATACATATACATTTTTTTCATCAAATGATAGAACTTTCTAGTAAATAAATCAATGTATGAAAAATTATTTATCTCTTATGCTGATTATTAATTTGTTTTCGTGGAGAAAAATCGGATCATTATTTACGTAATTCTGCGCCAAAAATAAGAAAAATCTGTGTAACGTATAAATTAATTAAATGAAAAATCTAAATTGTATTTAATCTAGATTTAAAGATAATCAAGCCGTTACAAAAATTAGTAAGAATAAATAATCATTCCGAGAATAAATTATGAGTCAGTTTCGATCATTTTGTATTCTGCCGTTTATAACCGGTATGATCTCTGAATTTACCATTCGTGTAATTAATATAACCTAATTTATTCACAATAGAGTTTAATTTTATTGGGTAAGTCACCTGTACAATAAACCCTTATCATAATAAATAAATAGTTTGTCGTTTAGCATGTAAAATTAATTGGCTTTTTAGAACAAGAGAAATTCCGTTGTGCTCTCCTGATATGTCAGTTTTGATCTGTTCCTTTATCTAAATGATTAGGCCTCATCAAAAGTTTCTTCCAATAATAACGAGCCCATTTTTAGTGGATTAACCGTAAATAAAAAGGTTCTTTTTCCAAATTTGGTTCTCCAATAAGTTCTTTTTGGCATTTTTTTACGATTATTATCTTCATTCCTCAATACAATCATTTCTCTCAAAGTATCATTTAAGGATTTCGGATAAAATAAAATGTTACTAAATTTTATGGAGTTTAACTAAGCCGCATTTGGTAATTCAGCATACTTAAATAAACTGAATTCGCGTGATCTCTGTGCCTCGTGTGACATTCGTTTTCTAAAACTCGTGCGTGCATGATTTTTGTTGTCTCCGTCTTTCTTTAAAGTCAAAAAAAAAATGACCCAATTTAATGAAGATTTAATGAAAGCTCTCGCAAGATTTTTGGGACCTTATGATAATAATATATCTAGTGGAAACAACCGAATTGATGAAATCTTAAAAGCATCACAACGTAATTCAATTGACGATGATGATTTTCTTGAATGGATTGAATTTAATAAATTAGTAAATTTTAAATATATTTCAAGAGGAGGAATTGGTGAAATATATTCCGCTATCTGGAAAGATGGTCCATCAAATAGCGCTGATATATTTGATAGGTTATTTAATAGGAAGGGAGAATGTTTCATCGTTGTTAAATTTTTTAAAAAGGATAAAGAATTTTTTAATGAGGTACGCTCATAAAAAATAAATATAAAATAAAATAAGTATCACGAGTTTTTTTTATATATATATATACATATTTTTTTTTTTTTTTATTAGCTTATAAAAACTTACAAGATTATTGGAACTTGTCCAAGAGCTTCCGGGTAAATATTTATAAAATACTAATATTTTTTTTTTTTTACATATTAATATTTTTTTTTTTTTTCGTTATTTCATAGATTAGAAAATCTTGTTCATATCTACGGAGCAACAAGAGATTATGAAAATGGAAATTATGGAATTGTCATGGAATACTTAAATAGTGGAAATCTTGAAAAATATTTAGAAAATAATTGGGAATCTATAACTTGGAAAGAAAAATTGGGAATTCTTAAAGATGCAGCGCATGGTTTGTTAAAATTACACGATGCAGGATTAATTCACGGAGATTTACATACCAGAAACGTAATGATTTCAACAAATCTTTATGATCATCCTACGGGATATTTAGGAGATTTCGGATTATGTAGAACAGATGAAAGTAATGAAAGTAATTCAAGAATACAAAAAAATGTAATTCCGTATATGGCTCCAGAGTTATTGTTGGGCGAAGGATATACTAAAAAAGCTGATATTTATAGTTTTGGATTAATAATGTATCAAGTAGCTACCAATACAAGACCAGAGCGGTATAGACATTATAAACATAGATTAGCTAATGATATTCTTAATGGTCGTCGACCTGGATTTAATAGAGATTTAATGCCTCATTGTTATGAAAGTTTAATGAGAAATTGTTGGAGTAATGGGAAAAGAAATCGTCCTAAGGCTGAAACTCTTTATGCAAGATTTTGTGAATGGGAAGAAAATTATTATAAACGGAATTCTCCTTTTAAAAATTTTAGGCTTCAGAGAGTTGAACCTTCTGGTAATGGTAATGGTTATTTTTAAATCGCAAAATGATTGAATTATAAATAAATTAGTCACTTCATTTTTACAATACAAAAGTGCATATAATAAATTACATTATAAAAATAATCATAATTTTAATAATTTTCGATTTAGTCATATGATATTCTAAACTAAGAAATTTTTTCAACGATCAAAGATTTCTCTCTGTACTGATGAATTTTTATAAACTGAAATCGGCAATTAACATACTATTTCTAATCTAATTTGGGAAACAAAAACGATTTGCACGACCAGTTCATACAATTTCTCTTCTCAACCGTTTTTGAGTCCGGACTGACGGATAAGACCGGTTAAGAGTTATTTAAACTTAATTATTTAGTTTGAAATTTTTTTAAAAAAAAAGTCTTTATTTTTTAAGTTTCCATAACTGATAATTCGTACTTTTTTTAAAAATTTTATACATTACAGCTAACGTTTTCTATTTTTTTTTTGAATATGAATGGGCAAGTGGTGAATGCCTAAAATATTTAAATAATTATTAACAAAAGATTTAACTAAAAAAAATTCAAGAATAAATAAATAACTCACCAGACACGAGTTGTATAAACAGCGAACTGATGATCACATTTATTAGGTAAAGGAACAGCTATTAACCTATATTGTTCAAAAGGAGAATCTCTTTCATAAACACTACTTTCCCACTCAGAAAATTTTTCATACAGTTTTTCGGATTTAGGACGACTTCTTTGACAATAATTCCAACAATTTCTCATTAAAGTTTCATAACATATAGGCATTAAATCTCTATTAAATTGAGGTCGTAACCCTTCATATATAGATCTTGCCAGTCGAAAATTATGATTTTGATCAAAAAATGGTTTTTTGTTACAAACGATTTGATACATTAAAACGCCAAAACTAAATATATCAGCTTTTTTGGTATATTTTTTTCCTGCCAATACTTCTGGTGCAATAAATGGAATTACTCCAACAATTTGTGTACGATTTGTATAACGTTCTTCTGATCTTGTAAATCCAAAATCTCCGATATATGCTGTAATCGAATAATTCACCCGATCTCGTGTTATCATTATATTATTACAATGCAAATCTCCGTGAATTAATCCTGCATCATGTAAATTTTTTAATCCACGTGCTATATCTTTAAGTATTCCTAATTTGATTTCCCATGATATATATCTCCAATTATTCTTTAAAAATGAATCAAGACTTCCTTCTGACGCGTATTGCATTACAATTCCATAATTTCCATTTAAGCCTCTCGTGACCCCATAAACGTGAATGAGATTTCCAAATCTATAAAAGATAAAAATTTTATTTCTTCAATGATTTTAAAATTTAAAATTTTAAAAGGTAATTACGATTAATAAAATACCCGGATGCACTTGAACAGGCTTCGATCATTTTATGATTATGTATTAGCTATAATTTTTTATTTAAAATAAAATAATTACATAACCCAAACTTCAACATAATAAATACACGTAAAATTGACGCGTACCTCTTTCATAAATTCTGTAATCGAATCAAAGAACTTGATTGCAACATCACATGGTGGGCCTCTTTTAACTCGTTCAACATCGATAGGTGGCCCATCGAACCAAATAGCGTAAGATACGTCTCCAAAAGCTCCGCTGGAAATATATCTTATGTTGGAAAATCTATGAATATTTATCCATTCAAGGAAATGATTTCGATCCTCATTATCCGTTGCTCTACGTTGTGACGCTCTTATAATTTCATCGATTTGATTATTTCCACTTGTCCAATATTTTGTATTCATTGTTCGAAATATATTTTGCATTTTTATTTGTATTTCGGTGATTAATTGGTTGTAACTATAACTATTAATTCCGAGAGACATTTTCTTTTTTTTTTTGAGTTTGAAAAAGGGCGTTTAATACACAAAAAATTTTATTGATATTATACTATCAAAGGAAGGAAATCAGGAAAACAAAATTTTATCCGTCATCTGAACAAATATTTATTTGTAAATCACTACGTCATTAACTTCCGCTTCGCGAATCGCGATCTTGTGACAATTACGTAAACTGTTTGCGGTTCACGAGACCTCTATAATTACCCCAATATTTTATAATTTTTTTTTTATAAAATTTAATAAAATTATTAATACTTTCTCTACAAAGTCTATTTTTCAAATTAATAATAAATTAAATAAATTAAATAAATTTATTGATTAAGAAAACCCACAACACAATCAAAATTTTATAAGCTTTTTTCTATTTCTCGTCTGTTACCAGATTTCTTTTTTCTATTTCTCGTCTATCAGATTTTCGAGCTGACATATTCCTTTTCCTTTGTAAATACCTGAAAAATCTAGAAACCCATTTTATCCATATGGAATAAGTCCCTACCATAAACATTATTGCAGTACTAACTCCAGTAACCCACCAAAAGTAACTATAAAATAAGGTATCATTATTATTATTTATTTACAATATCTACTCAAGAAACTTATGTTACAGAATATCCATTAAGACAAAATACCTCATATCATAATTCAGTTCAGGAAATTTTGAAAAGTTCATTCCGAAAACTAAAAGAAAGAACAAAAGCTAAGCTGTCTATTATCATGTATAAACAAATTTCACGATCTTCAATATCTACTTACATCCTGCTATGAAAGTCATCGGCAAGAAAACAATACTAAATATTGCAATTATTCTCATGTTTTCATTTGTCTATTTTTAAAAAGAAAAGATGTTAATCTTAAGAATATTAAGATAAATAAAAGAATATTATCCAACACGATACCTCATAAGCAATCAAATTGAAAATCTAAAGCGAAATTTAAAAATGTTTATTAATATCATAATCTAAGAACAAAAAACTTAATTATTAACTAAATAATTAATAATACGAACCATATTAACTAAGTTCTCTGTTATTTTAGTCATAGTATCTAAATCATCTACAATTTCTATAATATGATCCTATTCATCAAAATAAGGTTACGAACAATTATATCGAAATATTACATAAAAGTCATAAATATTAGATGTTTAAACTTACCGACACGTCCATAAAATAAGTTCTAGCCAAATTAGAAATAAGATTTTTCTCATCACTATGTTCTCTCAACAAAGTAACCAAACCTTGAACAGGTCCCAAAGTTCTTTTAAGAATAGTCAATTCTCCCGAAATAATATGAAGCTCTGAAAATAAACAATTAACAAATAATAGAGCTTAAATAGTTAGATTAATTAAATGGCTTACCACGCGTATAATCCATTTTTGGCCTTATTAATAATTTTCCCTCCAACTCAGCTATCTGATGTCGATACGAATCCTTAATTGGAATAGCTCTACAAGAAAATAAATAATTTTTATTTACAAATCTTATAATAATCATTTGAGTTGATCTAGTGGAAACTTACAAATCCACAATACCATCAATTACGGCTTCCATTAATAAACTTGCTTCTTGAGCAGTTCTTAATAAAGTTTTAGGTTGATTAATACGCGCAAGGATGGGTCTATAAACAGAGCTTCCGCTACACTTGAATATGGTAATAAGAATATCTTATGATTTCCGAAAAGAACAATATGTTAATACAATAATTAAACCAAATAGAAAGATCTAAAATTATAAAACTTACGATTTTCTAGTAAGAAAATGCTAACTTGTTCGACAGTAACGTGTAATTTTTGTTTTCTGAGGAGTCTATGAGTCTCCAAATATATACTATCTTCACGATGATTCATAGTTAATAAGTCTTTACGATATCTCGTTCTCGTCTTTTCATCCGATTCATCATTTATTTCACTATTTATTTCACTATTTCTTTCACTATTTCTTTCACTATTTCTTTCACCATTTTTTTTATCAGTTGGTTCAACCAGGGAATGAAGTAATAGCGAGACGTAAAGATGATTTTGATATTGATCCAATTTTGTTCCTTTAAGGTGAATTGACTAAAAGTCAGAAATTAAACAATTTAGATATCAGATAGTATTAAAATTTATTTGCTTCTTACGTTGGTCACCCTGCAAACTGTCTTCAATAGCCAGTGGATGTAAATCTGAAATTAAAAAAAACTTTAATATGTTACTAATTAATTGGTACTCGAATAAATTTATTTTAACCAATAAAATTCGAATTTTATTGTGACACCATCAAAACAAATCATAGCCAAATCCGCAGTAGTGTTACCAACTTGACATACCGTAATGGATTGAAAGAATTTTAATAACGTCCCATGAAATTCCATCAATATTAATCCATCGAACTCTACTTTCTGGAGGACGTTCTTTTTGAAGAAATTCTTCTAGTGATTCATTAGTTAAATTCTTAACCGTTGTTGCATCTTTCTCGCTAAAATCCGCACAAAAAATTTTACATCTGGTCTGTAATATTTCACGGTTTGTGGCAATGTAATTGTTAATCAAAAGTATTTAAGAGTGCATGTTAAATTTAAATTAACTTACATGAATATCATAATCAACAGATTTTGGGTCAATTCCTGGGTCTTGACCAGCTAAATGAATTTGTTCGGCTATAAATAAAAGAAAAAAAAGAAGCAAAAATTATAATAAACTTGTAATGGAATAAATTAAAGTAAGAAATGCTTAATTATATACCTGAAAGAAGACGATTAGCAGCAATAACTTTTTTAGTTAAAGCTTTAAGTCTTCCTCTTCCTCTTACACTACTAGTATCACTGGAGTTATCTTCTCTTGACCTACCATATTTTTCTATTACTATCTCAGAAGGAGAAGGAAGGTCCCTATTTACTTTTTCTTTACTCATAATTTTCCTCTAAATTTTTACAAAATAATTTTTTTTTTTTCTTTTAAATAAAAATAAAAATTGAAAAAAATTTTTTTTGTAGTAGAGGAAGTTATTTATTATTCATTAAATAACGTAGTTGTTATTTATAATTACACAGATTGTCACACAATACAGAGCGCCTACCCTTTGATAGCTTAATATATATTAATCAAAAAAATGAACAGCTTAATTGGTAAAGCACCATTGTAAGACATAAATTTAGTAAAATGCACGTGCGCTTGATTTATTTTATTTTTGCAATAATTTTTAAATAATATTAATTCATAGCATAAAAGCATTACACATTTCTCCTGAATATTAAGCAAGAATGGATCAAACTATTTATTTATTCATCATTATTTCATTATTATCAAATTGAAATTTCAATACTTTTTTAGGGTATAATCATATTATCGAAAGCGCTAGTAATAAAAATCTTTAGAAGGGTTCGTTGTCATTAAACTTTGGTTTGTCGGTAGCATTGTAATCTGCCTTTCTTCACTATTAACGTTGTTAATCCCTTCAACCAATACGAAATGATAACTATTATTTTCAATTTTTTCATATTCTCTTGTTAAATATTCTTGATCGTCATCACAATCGAATTTTTCTTTCGTTGAATTCTTAATTTCGTGAGAATTCTCTTCAAAAATTTTAAGTAGAGAGAAAGGATCATCAAAATGTGTTACTCTATTTTTTATCTCATCACTAACCTCTTCAAGAATAACATAAATTTCTTCTTGAAGATCAGGTAAATTTCTTTTAATTCTTGTTCTTGCAGCGGAATAAGCATGTAATTTTCCATCGATAGTATTTTCATCATGAACTCCATTAATAATCTTCACATCATTTAAATCAACAACTTTACTTTTAATATCATCATCATTATTCATATACAAATATTTTGATTCATCGTTATCATAAACATGAAAATATTCAGGTTTTTCATTTTTCTTTTTCATTCTATGTTCTTTAATATCAGCTTCATAACCTTCATCAAAAGATATGTTAATTTTAAATTTTTGTTTGGTTATAAGATTAGTCAATTCACATTTACTAACATCTAATTTATTATAATTAGAAAATTTCCATCCAACATCTTCAAATAATTTATTAATAGTACAGAATAATGTAGCAATAGAAATAACTCCTGAATAATTTTCTTCAAAATTTTTATTAAAATCTTGCATAAAATCTCCTGTGTCATCAGTAATATTAATATTATTTGATTCTTCATTATCGTAATTTAATGTAGTTAATTCATTAACTTTTTTTCTCATTGACCTCAAATCATCATAAGAAAGATAATCTGAACGTTTAATATTAAGAACTTTGACGTTATTTTGAGAATTTTTCATTGTTGAAGATGTAATTTTAGGTTTAGACTTTGAGGAAATACGATTTTTCATATTTCCGGATGATTATGAAACGAAATAAGGAAAGAGAGAGAATAATTAACATTAGCTAAACCGATCTAGGAGATAAATGATGTATTTATTTAATAACAATATCGAATGATGAAAGTCTACTAATATAACAAATCATTACATTTTAATCTGCCAATCATATCAAAAAAGGAATGAATTAATTTGATCATTCTCTCAAATTTATCATATGTTTGTTTGTAGATCATTTGTCAATTTTTCTCGAACAAACAAATGATCGATTAAATTGACCGACCAACGAGACTAAATTGACTCGATTAAATTCACTAGTAAAAAAAAAATTGGAAACGGGATAGACTTGAGAAATAGCCCCTGTATCTCTATGAAGAATTGGATTGTTCTAAGACATGTTTGAAAACTCAATATATTATAGTTATTCTAGAACAACTTGGAGAATTTGGTCAACTTTTTGTCTCATTTAATAAAAGTAAACTTTTAAATGCTCTCTCGTGTCGTGCTCACTTTATCAAACTTAATTATATTAGCATTTCTTGGAAAAATAGTTAAATATTGATATATATATCATTATTTACAAGCAGTCAAGCATTTTGACAATAATAGGGATAAGTTTATTTAACACATAAAATGGATAATCGCGACCTTGTCATCAATTTCCATATCTATTCCATATCTATTCATATTTAAAAAAAATAAATAGTGCACTCTATTTTATAAATTTACAATGAAATAAATTTAGGAAAAAAAAGAATGAAATCATTGAATTTGACTCTAAAAGGAGAAACGATTCGTCAATCACAAAATAATTTTCACTCGCCGCATTAATTAGGAAAAGACTAATTTTATTTTCCGAAATTTAAAATATAAACACGTGGATTTATTATATAAAATATTAATTTTTTTATTTTTAAGAAAAAAAAAATAATAAAATCAAAACCTTAAGATTAAAATTATATAATTTGACCTGTTTCAATTATAATTAATTGTTCATTAAAAGAATTTTTTGTTGATTTAATAATAGTATTATTACTTTTAAATTTTTTCGTATATAAAGGAGGCAATAAGCTTAATAAAGAAACCAAAAACATTTTAAAAATTAGCATTGGCTGCCAGATATCAGTAGTAGAAGATAATTCTGATAAAATATCACCAGCTTGAGCACAAGCTAAATTATATGATATTGATCCAAAAAACATTGTCGTAAAAAATATTCCAAATGGAATGTATAATAATGGTGATGCTATATTAAGAAACCTAAAAATAAATAAAATTTAAAATTAACATTAGAGAATCATGTTAATTGGTTCATATTTTATTTACTTACCACCATGGAGACAAAGGAAACATTCTAATGAATAGTAAATAATAGAATAATCCATCCCTATTTTCATTAACCTGTTTTCTTAAATAATTCAATTTATTACTTAAAAATTGATTCATTATTGGTTGTCCAATAAATTTGCTTATAAGGTATGCACCAGAAGCCCCTATTGCAGTCAACAAAGAAGTTAACAATGTAGCAATTATTGTACCGTATAAAGCACCTGCCAATAAATTCTTTTTTGAAAAAAAAAAAACGACATTTTATTTTTTAAAATTAGCAAAAATGTAGCAAAAATGATCTTTTTTTTTTCTTTTTAACGTAACGGTAAGAATATTTTAATACTTACAAGAAAGATGGCTCCTGGAATGGAAAATGTTTGTTTACAAATATAAATCAAAGAAAAAACAACAAGAATATGTAAATAGCCTTGCCAAGTTTCATTAGAATAATTTTCCAATATGATGGCTTGGTATTTAACACCTTCAACAGATCTAGGCAATGATAAATTCGGTATACTTTGTATTAATAATAATATAACATATAATAATATAAATGCGAGCCCTAATACGAAGACTATTCTTGGCATAAAATTTACTATTAATATGCTAGAAGTTTTGTTTTTTGGTAATTTAAGTTCATCGGTATCCGAAGTTAGTGAAATCTCAATGATTGAGTCATTAATTGATGATGTTCGACTTATTTCTTTCATAACCGGAATAGTAGACATAATTAATTATTGTTTAATTTTTTTTTTTTTTTCGTGAGAAAAAAATAGAATTTCGAACAGGTTGACCAAATTCAGGTAACCTGACAGGTTGACCTGAATTTTTCAGGTCAGGTTTAGCAATTGNTTTTTTTTATTATTATTATACTTAAAAAAACGTATATTTAGTTTACAAATCTTCTTTAAAGATAGATTTGTCAATTAATTGGGAAAGAAATTAGAATCATAAAGAGAAAAAAAAGCCGTTTGAAATTTATAATAAAGAATAATTACTAATTTATAATCAACTCTTTCAAAGTTTCACAATCCTTATTTGGAACTATTTAATTCCGTATATATATATTTAAATATATTATTAAATAAATTATCACAAAATTATTCAATGTTAATCATACGGCAACTTTATACGGTAATTACAAAGTTCCGTATAATACGGTTAATTGGTTTATGCTAATAACTTTACCGAATTGTTATGTAAACGATAATTTATTTGGTATGAATGATATAATTATGCATTTTCAAATTTTACGTCAAAATTTTTTACTTTGTATTACCTTACCGGTCTTTATGTAATACAATAATCATAACACACCAAGCTAAAGGCTAAGTAAGCATCACAAAAATTTAAAAATTATTTTGATATAATTTCGGCCGACGATCATATACTTGACAATGACTGATCAGATATAAATATTATATAAAGGTTGATCTGAAGATTAAAGAATCACTTAACAAAAAAAGCGTCGTTTCTTTTTTTTTTTTTTTTTTTTTTTCCTTTATTTTGTAAAACACACTAAATAATGGTTAATACACCTTTACCACAAGATCTTGCAGAGGAATGTAAAAAAGCTGCAAAGATTCTCAATAGTTTTATTGACCCTGTTGCAGCAAAGGGTCCCGATAAAGTTATTCCTCCAAATGTATTGCAAAAAGCTAAAGGTTTTGCTATATTTACAGTTATTAAAGCAGGTTTTTTATTTTCAGGTAGAATGGGAGCAGGTCTAGTTGTAGCACGTTTAGAAGATGGAACTTGGAGTGCACCATCAGCAATAAGTACTGGAGGTATGGGTTTTGGAGGTCAAATAGGTGCTGAAATGACGGATTTTGTTATAGTATTAAATAGTAAGGATGCTGTGAAAACATTTACGAAAGGTGGTAATGTTACATTAGGAGGAAATTTATCTGTTGCTGCTGGTCCTGTTGGACGTACGGCTGAAGGTGCTGGATCTTTATCACTTGGTCACGCTGCTGCTATATTTTCTTATAGTAAATCAAAAGGTTTATTTGCTGGTGTATCAGTTGAAGGTAGTGTTATTTTTGAAAGAAAAGATGCCAATGCAAAATTTTATAATCGTAAAATTTCTGCAAAAGAATTACTTTCAGGTCAAGTTACACCTCCCCCACAAGCTGATGTTTTATATAGAGCTTTAAATGCAAAAGCTTCAAGAAAAACTATCATTGATCATCAAGATAATGATTCATCTAATGATGATGCGATTCGTTCTCGTTCATCAAGACTTAGTACTAATATCAATAATAATCATAATCATCAAAATAGATTTAGTCAACCTCCTCCTTATACTCCAAAAATTACCAACAATCCTTTTGAAAAAGAGGAAGAAAATTATAATGATAAGAAATCATCAATAACTTCAAATACATCGAATTCACAAAAAACACATTCTTATCATACTGCTTCTAGTAAACCTCCTTTGGCTCCAAAACCAAACAAACCTCCTATGCCACCTCGTAAAAAGTTAGAAACTGCTATTGCTGCTTATGATTTTCAAGGCGAACAGGATGATGATCTAAGTTTTAGTAAGGGCGATATAATTATTATTATAAAGAAAACCGATAGTATTAATGATTGGTGGGTCGGTAAATGTAACGGAAAAGAAGGAAATTTTCCTGCTAATTATGTTGAACAGAAATGATGTAAAGTCATCAAGAGGAATTTTAAATACTTTCTTTTTTTTCTTGGAATTTCGAGTTTTTTAAAATCTTGACAAGTGAGAATTTTTTAAGAAAGGCTATATCGAAAAAACTCAGATCAGCTGAAAGTTGAAATCAATAATAAGATATTTTATTTTATATACTAGATAAAAGGATAATGAGTGGGTAATATATCTTTATTATTATTTCTTATCAATATTTTTATTCAATTTACTGATAATATTAAATTATTTATATATATAATTGTAAAAAGATTTATTAAGTTATATAGCAGATAGATGTAATTCTGTATTATTGTTTTTACTTATAAAATGTAAATTTTGATTATTAAAAAAGTGATAAAAGAAACTATATGTTAATTATTAACAAATAATATCAGGTTTAAGTTGAAAAAATGAAATTAAAATATAAAAAATTAGCTGGATAATACAAATATATATATAAATAAAATAAATAAAAAATATTAACTATTATTTGAAATTAATAATATTTTTAAAGTTAAAAGCTATTTTAATTAATAGTAATTTAATATAATTAAAATATGAAAACTTTATTGAATTATATAAATATTAATTTAGATTACTTAATTTGTAAAAATTATATGATTAATATTATAGTTAAATTACTTAATATATATAGTAATTTGTAAAAATTATATGATTTTATAATTTAATAATAATTTTATATTAGTTATTATTAATTTATTAATGAATTTTATAAACCTATTTTTTTAGTATTAATTTAAAATATAAGTTCTAATTTAAAATATTTATAATTTTATATGAAAATTAAGGATCTTGTATTGCTTTAGCATTATATAAAAGATTACAAAAATAAAAGTTTTTTTTTTTTAATTTAATTAAATTGTTATTTTTACTTGTAAAATTTTTTATACTTAATTAGCTTTATTTCAATAAATCAAATCAATTACAAAATTTTAGCTATATAACTTAAAAATTTTGTATAAAAATGCTTTGTACAATTATTTTTTTACTATTTATTTTTTAATAGTAAGTATTATTAAGGCTTCGATAGTACAATTCCCTTTATTAAATTGATTTTTGCCATTCTGTAAAAAATAATATAGACTAATTTGGTTTATATGAGATGATAATCATGACGATCCACACCTTATTTTTGAGATGTGATAGGCGTGATAGGTAATAATCATCTTTCGCAAAATGTTAACTCAGTCCGCGCGACTTCGGATAAACGTATTAACCATTAAAAATATTAAAAAATTATTATTTTTATTAAATACGTATTAGTAGGATTTTTAACTCTCTATGGCCAAACATTTTTAATTTTTGGAAATTACGCAATTAAAAACTAATTCGTAATAGGTACGCAATTAAAACTAGTTCTTAATAGGTTATGAAATCATTTTTATAAAATCAGATTTTTTATAATCGGGAATGAATGCGTTTGATGGGAAAATCAAATTGAACACAACATGCAAAAAAAAAAAAATTTATTTCCACATTCAATCTAGGAGTACTTTTTACCTTTGGATAACAAATTCCACTTTATTGTAAATAAAAAAGAAAATGTCTTCGTTACGAGTTCTTCGCGCTTTTTCTACACGTGCTAACACAGCAAAGTTTGCCGCTAATGCAACCTACCCTAAAACTGTTTTGAATACTTCAGTTTATTTTCGCTCCTTTGCAATTCCAAATTTGAAACGTGCTTATAGTACTGAACAAACAGAGCAAAAAACTGGTGGTGGTAGCAGCGGTGGTGATAGCAGCGGTGGTAGCAGCGGTATGCTTTGGTTGGGAGCAGCTGGTCTTTTAGGAGCAGGAGTGGGATACTATTTTTACAGTACCAACAATGGTGGTATTTTAGAAAAAACTCAAGTGCCTATAAAACCAAAAACTATTGATTATCAAAAAATTTATAATCAAATAGCTGATATTTTAGAAGATAACGATTGGGATGATGGTTCTAATGGACCAGTTTTTGTTCGTCTTGCATGGCATGCGGCCGGCACTTATGATAAAGTATCTAAGACCGGTGGCAGTAATGGTGCTACCATGAGATTTTCTCCCGAATCTGATCATGGTGCTAATGCAGGACTTAAGTTTGCTAGAGATAAATTGGAACCTATTAAACAAAAAAATCCAGAAATATCTTATTCTGATTTATGGAGTTTAGCTGGTGTTACCGCTATTCAGGAAATGGTATAAATTAATCTTATGCGTATTTGCTTGAATTAGTACTCGTATTGTGGGTTATTTACAATTTACTTGTTATATATTTTTTTAGGGAGGTCCTACAATTCCATGGATTCCCGGACGGTAAGTTAATCAATTTTAAGTCGGATATTACTAATTTTAATTGATAATGTAAATTCACGCGTAATGTTCGTATTATAATTATTATAGTAAGGATGCTGACGCCGCAACAGCTTGTTCTCCTGATGGTCGTCTTCCCGATGCTACTAAAGGTCCATCTCACATTCGGGATATTTTTTATCGAATGGGATTCGATGATCGGTAACTAATATACTCTTATACTTCTATTTATTCCAGCCATTTCAGTATAATTTATTCTCGTAAATTTGTTTATGAATATTCAACGCAGTGAAATTGTAGCACTTGTTGGGGCTCACGCTTTAGGTCGTTGTCATCCTGATCGAAGTGGTTTTGACGGTCCATGGACTGCTAGTCCTACAATGTTTACAAATAATTTCTTTACCGAACTTTTGGGTAGAAAGTGGGTTGAAAAAAAATGGAAAGGTCCAAAACAATATATTGACAAAGAGACTGGTGTGTAATATACAAGAAACATTATTTTGCTACTTATTCATTCGTTTACTTACTTACTTATTTGCTTTTATAGGTGAACTTATGATGCTTCCCGCTGACATGGCATTGATGCAGGTAATTTATGTAAATTTGGTTATTATTAATGTAATCTCAGTATTAATTATGGTTATTTTAATGATTAGGATAAAAATTTTAGACCATGGGTAGAGAAATATGCTAAAGATGAAGAATTATTTTTCAAAGATTTCGCTGCTGCATTCCATAAGCTTTTAGAATTAGGTATACCAAGAACCGGAGAAGAAAAAGTTTATCATTTTAAAAAAACCGATGAATCATCTTAAACATCCGTTTGTTTTGTAAAATAATTTTTGTATTGCGTAAAAAAATATGTGTATGTGAAAAAGAATATATTTATGTTTTTATTTATTATCCTTTTCTGTGGGCGTAAAATAAAATGCCTTGAGATTATGAAAATCACATGCGTCGTCAATTCTTTAAGTCACGTTTGTTTTGGGAATTTGGGAAAAACGTTTTCCCTATTTTAAATCTTCCAACCACAAAAAGTAAGTAAAACGAATGTTTCAAATTGGATCAACTTTTTATAAAATACGTTGATACCGCAATTCAATTGTGGTGAGTAAGTATGCTCTTTTATAACAGAATAGGATTACTGTTAATTTTTTTGCTTAAAAGGATACAATTTGTCAATTATTATGATATTCAGAATATTCATCCATGAAAATGTAGAATTATACACGCTTCTGCCGCATTCAATTGCGAATTCAAAAATCATTCAAATTATGTTGAAAATTCCAGAAGTACTGTACATCAGTCAAATCATGTCACAACAGATCTATAGATACTTACACGTAGAATGCCTATTGACAATCTTCGTGTTACGGCAAGTCAAAGACCCATAAAGAGCATGCATAGCAGTAATACCTAATTTTAAGTATTGATCGAAATTCCTTCAACCCATTCAAGAATTTCATCAAATGTTAATAAAAAGTTTAAAAACCCTAATAATTGGTTCAATGTTTTCTTGCCAAAAACAATCTCTTTTATAGGGAGATGAATTTTTGAATAAAGTATATTGGAGACTTCAAATCTATGAAATTTATCAAAGATAAAAAAGAACTGGATAAGATCAATGTTGAAAATGCAGATTATTTTAGATGGTTTTGCTAATATTTCATCTGACATTAAGATTTGTATAATATTAGATAAGGGAAGAGTACAATATATGAATGAGCAAGCATTTACTTTGAATGTAAGCAGCAGGTTTATTTTTTGTAATGTTGGACACTACATTACAACTTTCAAATCTTGCACCTATAAAAAATGATCTGGCTATAAATTGTATAAATTTCTATTTACAAGTAGTAACTTTAATTGTTTATTTTCTGAAAAAAGCTGTATTTGAAAGTATTCAAAGACTATAAAAAAGAGTTAATAATTAATAATAGTAATATAAAATGTAAAATAATAATAATAATATAAAATATTAGAATGTAAAAACCTTTTTTATATTCTGCAAACATTTTTTTTAATCTTATTACTTAGTTATTTTAACACTTATCTTACAATTTTTTAATAATTTTAACTAAAATTATTAGTATTTAAAATAAAAATATATTGTAATAGAATCCTGAACATCTAATATATAGGTTATAATGGACTTTTAATCAAAATTACCTTTTCTTACTAAAATTCAAAAAATCATTTTTTACAAATTTTTTGGCATCTTGTAGTCCAATTTTAATAAATTTTCTTTAAACTGTAAAATTCAAAAAGTTACAAATAGCTAATTTGCTAAAAATGTAATTTATACCTTGTTTTAAAAATACACTACTTGGATAAAAGTAGCAAATACCTAATTTTACTTAATTGTTCAAAAATATATATATTAATATTACTCAAAATTTTAATATATAATAAAATGAACACTAAAAAACATATACCGTAAAGTTTTGAATATAAGCAACATTTTTTTTGTTATAGGAGTACTTATATTTGGATAAATTTATATATTTGGTATAAAATGTGTCCATTTTAAAAAAAGTTTTTCTGGGATCTTTGATGCAAAAATGAACTAAAATTTTTTGTGATATTAAACAAGTTCGTGACATTAGAACATCAGGTTTAAAAATAACTATCACTTGCTATTCTCAAAATGGAATCACCTTGTAGTATTGACCAAAATTATCATAGTGTTGGTTAAGAATGCTTACTTTCAGATAATATAAAAATTTGTGAATGCTTATATTTGTGAAGGTGCTTATATACAGTATTTAAAATTTTATATTGTTAGCTTTTATATAATTTCATTAATTAAATAATTAAAAAATATTTTTTTTTTTTGTAAATAACTACTAAATTAAAAAAATGAAAAATACAATTGATATCAATACTCAATATTTTTTTGATTTCTATTTCTAAAAAAAATAAAGATGTAAAAATTTATATACTAATTCTTTAAAGCAATAACTTTTAAATAATATAAAATTTAATATATATAATTTGCAATAATAATATAAATTTTTTGCAATTTTAATTCAATTTTCTTTTTTTACAATTTCTCTATAAACTATATAATAACATGTAAATTAATTGACGATCCGCGAGTCAACTAGAGAAATTACATATAAAATTTGACGCAAATCATATACTAATTTGTCATAATACGCCAACTTTAATGATTTCTGATGTAACAAAAACTATAAGCATAGTTTACTAAAAATAACACAAACAATAAAGTAAATGTCACACTTTTATTTTTCAAAGCTACAAAGTGTAAAAC